TTGTATGTTTTAACATCAAGCAGGTATCCCATTAGACATAAATACTTTAGCAACCAAGTTATGTACTAGTAAACCTTCTTTATATAGTAATCCACGGCATTACACTTTGAGGTTTTAAAATTGTCTTGATAGCCACTCTCACTACATATATGGATGTCATTTTCGAGGCTTTCGTAAACTTTTCCACTTCGGATCAAAATACATGCGAAAATCTTGCTGCTGAAGGAATTCTCTCCCTAATATCACATATCCATTCTTGTCGGAAACTACATGAAATACATCATTATTTTTTTGTACCATTAATATTAAATGAGAAGTCGGCACTACCGTCTACTGATAAAGAATCGAGATTTACTGCTTGGAAAAAAAATTACCTTTATATAGTTTCGGATGATTTTTTATTGCTTAAACATTCTTTAATGTAAGAAAGAGCAACTTGCGCCGGAGTCAATTAAAAGCTATATATTTATTCTTTTCAATTTTAATCAGACACAAATTTGGAATATTTGTTAAATTTGTTGAATTTATTTCAAATTTTTTCTTTCATTTACAATTTCTATTTTTGTTATCAAACGTTTTACTTTGATATTTACTCTCTTCCTCGGCTTCATGATGAACGGAATGCCCTAGTTTCACTGTCTTTGAACGGGTGGTATTTTCTGGAGACGATATCTTTGTTAATGTCATTTACCTTTACAGGAATGAGTTAAATCCCCTTGTTTACCAAAATAAGCTTCTTCTACTAAAGCCATTAATCTTTTGTCAAAAACTTGAACTGTCTCACCAGTTTTATGTCTTATGTTATTAAATAAATAAAACAAAGGTTGTGGATCAGTAACTTCCAAAAATCTTGTAATTAACTTTGCCTTACAATCCACCCGTGTAATGTAGCTCTATCATTATTGGACATATATATATTTTTGTTAATAATGACTAACAATGCCCTAACAAGATTAATATGCAATTAATTTCAATCTTTCTTCGCTCGCATTTGTAAGGACGGCATACTTTTTTTCTGCTTTAGTCTATTCTTGGAACTACTTCGGCCGACAGGTGCTACTTGAGTGCTCACTGAACATGCCAAACATTAAAGGTGCTCGATCTGTTGGAAAAGATCCTGTTTTGTTTGCTACTGACTATCAATAGAGGTCGATAGTTGATAATGGTATAGACCGTTGGTTTTTCTGTTTGAATGGTTTTACACTAGTAATTTTTTGGGGCCCTTTATAGCTTGCTGTTCGGTGTGAACCAATGCTCCGTGTTGAAGGCCGTACCTTGACCTATAATGGTTTCCTTTTATAAATTGTAACTTGGATGGAGAGTTGTCTCATTGGCACTCACACCACATCTTCCTATATCTATTTGCCAACGCCTGAAAAACCTACCCTAACGTCTTTGTTAGCCATTTAACCCAAATGAACTATAGCATGGCTTACATACTGTTAGTTCTCACAGTGGACGTCGCTGACAATCCTTTTGACATGTTAACACTAAACAATTCGAAGAATTTTGATTATAGTAAAGTTAGAACTTCGGTTGTAACTAGTTCAGTATAGCTTTTCAGCCGTCTATCTCTGTCTGATCCGATTGAAAATAAATCCGTTTTATATATCAAAACTGTTTGATAACTTCTGCTTCTTACTAATGGTATCATATTACATTGTTATAAAAGTAAAAAAGAAAGTTCTCGTTGTTCGAATAACAGGAAGTTTAAGGCCACCACCTAAGACAGTTAATATCTATAACCGGTATTGTCCATTGACAAATGCTCTGGAACATTGATAATTTACTAAGTAGAGTTGTACAGATATAACATATCACAGAGGTCATATTGACATCTTAATCGTAATCATCAATCTGTTACATAATGACGATAGTAACTTTGTTTAAGAAGTATTCCTTCATTTATTATTTTCTAGTTTGACGTGGAAATGATTTAATTATTCGACTTCGATTACATGAAACAGCCGTACAATTCATACATATAGTGCTCCGTTTAAACTATTATACCATGTATACCTGTACCTTAACTTTCACGATAACACTAATTAACTTAACTTAATGCCATCGTTTTGTCTTGTACTTTACTAATAGCTACGTTAAGGAAGTAATTCTTTACATATTATTTGACATTAACATTTGAAATAGAAATGCTTTATGGTTAACGGCTTTTTTTAAAAACTACGTATCAGTACAAAAAACATTCAGTTTCATGTTAAAACTATTACAATTTGAACGTTCACAATATAATAATCACAAAACAGAAAAACCTTCGATTTTTTTCTGTAATTTGCTTATAACTATATTAAGGAATTATGACTTAAAAGATGTTTTACCTCTACATTTTGATATCACGATCCTCTTCATCGCGTTTGTATTGACAAATGAAATAAAGTGTAATCAAAGATGTTATAATGTTTAACATGAAAATATACCAAGTTGATTTGACCTTTACTTTGCTTTTGAATGTAAATTACATATATTCGTCTGTTACAAATGTATTCTATATCTCCGATACGTATTGTTAAGTATAAAATATGGATGAGTTATACCACGAGTACCTACATCTCTACTGATTATCATAAGTCTGTTTATCAGTTGGATACCACAATTATACCATAACTTTGCTATACTGCCATGTACATACTGTATTTTAATCGTTTTCAGATGTAGTACGGTCTTGGAAATTCAAAACAAATGCGTGATACAATTGAGCAGTACCAAACAGAAACAATATCATAGAAATGCTGTTACATGTTTTGTTGTAACACATACATTTTCTATATATCATGTAAATTGAGGCAGCACATTTTGTAGCAAATGTGTACAAAATGTATCGAAGTGGGAATTGTTTTATTTATCAGTTATTGATTTTTCTATTTAATAAGCAGTGTCACCGTGTATCTTCACACAAGATTCAAAAGATGTGTGGCACTAAATGTTTTGTGCATCTGAAAAGTAATACAAATGTTCTTTGCCATGCGCGTTTTTGACACTTTCAGAACCATTCCTCATATACCCTTGAATCCAGTATTTAAGTTTATTACTGAAATTATTACATAAAAAGATGCGTTTGCAATATCAAGGTGTTTAGTCGACAATCAATGAAATTAGTTACCTAATCGTCATTATTTTATTTCTTATTACTATGAGAACATGGATGATGAAGCCATACTCCAGACGTAACCTAACAGACGGAGAGCGCATATTCAATTACAGGTTAGTAATAACAAAATTATGAATTAACATAACCAATTAAAATTAGTTATAAAACATCATAACCCTAACATATATAAACCGCCACGAAAGTCTCGTGGTAGCGTGTTCGCCTCCAGTGCGAGAGGTCGTTGGTTCAAATTAAAGACTTTAAAATTGGTATTTGCTGCTTCTCCGCTAAACACGCGGCATTAATGACTAAGATTTGTCGGCTCGGAGTCCAAATAATGTGTCCGGGTAAGGTGACATGTCCTCCTGCGAATTGTTACCTTGTGAACTGGTACGTTAAAAATCCTGCTCAGCGTATCGGTCTAGTACATAGTACAAATCAGGGCTTATATTAATATAACAGTAAGATTTTCTCGTACGGAATATGCATATAAGTTTGCCTCTAGACGCTAAGCAGTCATTCATCATCATCACCTTACGTATTTATTTTGCTGTTTAAGGGTATCAATTTTTAATTTTTTCGAAACAATTTTTTATATATGGTTTCCCTTTGAACAACATTTGTATAACACAATCGCATTGTATGTTTTTACTTTCCAGACTTTCTCGTGCAAGGCGAGTGGTGGAAAACGCGTTTGGTATCCTTGCCATGCGGTTTCAATGCCTGCTTGGCTGCTTGAATCAGTCTCCAGAGACCATCGATTCCATCATTCTTGCATGTATTACACTGCACAATCTTCTCAGAATTAGGAATCCTTCTTATTGCACGCCAGACCATCGACCATGAGGATGCATACAATCAACAACAACCTGGTGAATGGCGTCAGGGAAGGCAAATGACAGATGGTGGTCATACCCATGGAAGAAATGCTGTGGCATCCGCTGGGGTCCGTCAAAGAGACTATCTTAAGCACTATTTCAATTCACCAGCAGGTTCAGTTGATTGGCAAGAGAATATGATATAGTTCAGCAGTGTAATTATACAGATACTTGTAGTTTCACCGTAAAACCGCAGATGTATTTGTTCATGTATGAAATCTGTTCTCATTATTTTAAAAATGTAAAAATTGTTTCATAATAAAGGTTTTTTATATATGTTTTGTTTTGTGTAAAGTTGAACTTTAGCTTTGGTATATGAATTGCTTTTTTTCTGCGTTTTACAAAATGTAGTTTCTTGGTTCCACGTTGATAAGGAGATCCTTAGAGTTAATAAAATCTCTAAAATAATGATAATAATAATGATAATTTGAATCGTTTGTATTTACTTATTAATAAAATTTACTGCTCTTATCTTGAAAAAAACACCACCAACTGAGACTTGCTACTGCATTGGTACCTATGTTAAGCAATACGACAAATGCTACGTGTAATGCAGGATCTGCTCACCCATCCGTAGCACATGAGATAACCCTATTTTTTTGTTGAGTTTCAGGTTCCTAAGTTTTTAGTTTTCTATGTTGCGTTGTGTGGATTGCTGTTTGTCTTATCGTGGCTGTGTCGGTTTGTTTTCAACCTATGCATTTGATTGTTTCTTTTGTATCTTTCTCCTCTTTTTATACCTTTAACCCTCATTGAGAAAGTACAGCCACTATTTTCTGCGCAGTAAATCGTTTGTACAGTTTAAAAAAACCCATTGACAATACGTTTTCGCGGAATCAAATGGGCACCAGAAACGTTTGGAAGACCATGTACATGATGTAGATAAACTCAAAGTTGAAACAATGCACCAAAACTTCCAGAAAAGTAGCCAAATCGAACTAAGGATATAACACTATTTTTCCATATACCCGCTGGTTTCTTTTAAAATTAGGATAGTATGATACAAAAAATTAACATCAAATATCAAAAACTTTATAAAACAATGCAAAATACAAATCAAAGTTCACAATTCAAAGATCACATCGAGTTACTGAATGTACTGAGATCGAGATCAGTCAGATTTCATACCTTCTTTTGAGACTTGGAAATGTTTCGGTTATTGATCTTAGACGACAGTTACTGTAATACGTCAAGTGTGTCTTCAAACGACCCCTGACTAAGGTTAACGGGACTGTAAGGTGTGGAGATAACATCCATAGAACAGCAGATGAAAGATGAAGTGTTGGCATCAGAAGAACTGCCAGCTGACTGTTGTAGAAACATAGGCTGGACATTAGGTGGCTGTAGATGGGTTTAAGTATGACACTTGTGGAGTGACATGTGCTGGTGGCGCAGCTTTCAGCTATGTTGTTGGCTACCTGAAAATCCTGCTGAATTTGTTGTTGCCTGGACTGTTGCTGCTGCATTGCTGAACCAGTAGCTGCCGATGGTTGAAACTGTCTTCTATTTGTTGTTGATGTTAATTTAGGAAGGGTAGGCATAGCAAATAATGGAACTACTGTCTGCTTAGCTGCTTGTTGGGCTGCCAGACGTCGCTTTTCTTCTTGGCTCTTATCCACAAGGTCTAGAACAAGCCTTGTGGAACGTGTGACGAATAGGTTCATCACTTGCTAGCCCATTTGGCGCATCAAGTACACCAAAAATTGTCCAGTCTGTGCAGGTGAATCCTGTGCACCTGTGATGGCACCACGCACGGACTCTAACTCGGACGTCAGTGAAGAGAGATCCCGAGCTGCTTTTGGATTATATCCAGGTGCAGTTGCGGTTGAGGATACTGACAAGTCAGAAGAGCGGCATCAATATCATCAGTGTCCTCTGAGGTAAGTTCCTTCCTCTTATCAGCAAACTGTACAAATAAGAGAAGAAATCAAATACAGTAAATTACACAGTTTTCTTGGTTACTTTGAAGTAGTCCAATATGGAAAATTCAAGGACAACTATGTTTGAAATGAAGTTTTGTAATTACTATGGATCATTCTAAGTTATGTTTGAAAATAGAAAATTACAGAAGATTTTTTTTAATTTAAAGCAGTGCAATCTGTAAATTACAAAAATAACTGCTAAATATCAAATTTTGTATTACTTACTTTGGATACTCTTTGGTTGCGCAGCTGCACAAGGTAAGGACGCAGGAAACTAAAGCTATCCATAAGCAACTGCTGCCTTGCTGTGTGTTCTGCTACACCAGACCCTGACTTGCTGAATAACTTCACCAGCTTTGAGAACTGTGTCCTCATATAAGAATACCATATTGATGACAGGTCACCAGCTTTAAGACCCAGCTATTCCTCCTTAGCTGCCCATTATTTGTTCTTCTTCTCCTTTAACTTAAAATCAGCTGAGGATTTATCATAGAGGAATGTGTTCTCTCTAAGCCATACAACCAAATCTTCCTCCTCCTCATTATTGAGTGTACGACATACGGACTTCCTGGGCTTAGAAACAATCTGAAATATGAGAAAGCAACATTCATATATCATATGTAAAACTCAACATTTAAATGTATGCCAAAATAGAAACGTTACATTCCAAAAAAAAATATGTGCATTCATAAAAATATTACATAGACTGCATATAAAATTATAAATCGTTAATAAATCATCATATTTATAAAAGAGATACCTCTTTCTCAAGTTCGTGCTTTCGGAGCCTGGTATGATGGGAAGGAGAATCAATAACGGGCGTAGTAGGTGTAGGAAGTGCTGGTTCCTTATTAATTGTCTTTGTCTTCTTAGCCCTTTACGGGGATGCAGTTGGTGTGGTTGTAGTATCATATTCAATTGATACAACTGGAGGGGTGACCTTCTTTCCTTTTCAAGGCATCCTAGATGTTGGACTAAATAGTAGACAGATAAGATCTCTTCGTGAGTTTAGCTAATGATGAGATTTAATCAGATCTGCACACCTCTTTATGTAATCTCATAGCAGTCATGTGTACTCGTGTATGACCGCGTAGAGATCGAAAAGTGGTCGACTTTGGTCGAGTAGAGAACTGGGTATTGGTCGAGTTGGTCTGGGATAAAAAATAATAGTAGTCGCAGTGATCGGAAAGCGATCGGGAATAGGTCGATTTAATCTGGATCACAGATCAAACAAGACGGCGTTGATCGAGAAACGATCGGGTATAAGTCGAGCAAAGGTCGAAATGATCGAGTACTGATCGGTAAAATATTTGTATTCCGACCAAACTCGATCTCTACACGATCCTTTCTCGATCAATTCGATCGCTACACGACGAATTCCCTATCTCTTCTCGAGTGACTGGCTTCTCGATCCTTACTCGATTTTTTTTGACATGTCAAAAGTTCTCTGATAGAAAGTCAGATCGATGACGAGCAAAGTAGACCACCCCGAACATTCTTGTCGATCGAGTCAAACCAGTTTCCCGATCGCTTAATCTGTCTTGATCGGGATTGATCGAGTTGGTCTGATCGGCAGTGTGAACCTAGCTTAACGTATCTATATGACACCTCACGATTGAGAAGACATAATGGTAGAGCTGGGAAAATGGAAGTTGGTATTGAAAAAAATTATGACGTCTTTCGTAAATCCTTATTTAAAGTCGCCCAGCTAAGCCAATTTCAAGTCAAAATCCACGAATTGAGATCGCCTTATAAAGCAAGGTTCACACAGCCGATCAGATCTACTCGATGATCCCGATTGACCACATTTCCACGACCAAGCGTTACCAAATTCTTGATCGGGTTTGTTTACGACTTCTATCCGACCGTACACGACTCCGACTCGACTATTTACGGCTCCTTTACAACTTCTTCACGACTTCACCCCAACCGCTAATTGAATATCTATTCGATGATCCCGACCAGTTCACAATCTTTACTCGACTAGCTAGACTAAATCAACTATACTCGATCTCAACTTGACCAGATCGACCTGATTGCATAGGGGTCGTAGGAATAGTCGGGAATCAGTCGGATATGTACATTTTCAGTATTAAAACGTCTGATTTGTATGCCCCCGTGTCACATGGACATATTCTCTAATCATTGTCATTATCATTCAATAGACAACAGAATTTCAGAGTAAAATCGTACATTTAAAATATCTACAATGAGATAGAGCAGTTGCATTTGTGGGGAAGATGTTTAGAGCTTCAGAGAGACAGGTTCATAACTGTGACAGAACTTGAATAGAAGCGTGGAAAACGGACAAGAAGGCGTAGACAGCAACGGCGCATATAACTCTAGGTGAGGCAGTGGCTGACACGGTGACCACTGTACAGGCTGTATAAGAGACTGGTGCGGGAGCTCAACAGGAAGAACCCTAATCTCACACAGAATAGAAAAAAACCAGAACACCAATTTTAGGTAAGTTGACATGTTTATGCATTGATAATTTCATCCGAATGAAACACTATGATATCATTGCAGGAATGGCATTTATCAATTTTTCAACTTTTTTTATATTTCAGAGAAGCCTTAGAGCCTGGACTGAAATTGGCTGTCATCCTTCGCCATCTAGCAACTTGCGCTTTTTATGAAGAGCTCATGTAATCATTATGAGTGACTAAAACACAATTTGCTGGTTCGTTCAGGAAGTTTTGGAAGCTGTAATACACGAGTACTCAGAAGAGGTGATGCCAGCCGTCTTCACACCCATACAGTGGCAACAGATTGTGATGACTTTCAAGCCAAGTGGGAATTTTCCTAATGCATGTGGGCCACTGGATAGCACTCACAGGAGGATAAAATGCCCAAAGGACTGTGGTACACTGTACTACAACAACAAAGGATCGTTCTCAATGATACTACTGGGCCTCATCGACGCAGACTACAAGTTCATATGTGTCAGTGTTGTTGCTAATGGAAGTGCGTCCGACGCCCAGCTGTTCAACCAGTCTGAATTAAGGACTTTGATTGAGGAAAATAACCGCGGAATGCCGCGCCGTCACCTGACCCACTGTCCGGCGATGACAAAAACACACCTAAAATTTCCTGATTTGAGATGATACATTCAACTGAGAACCTGGATGATGAAGCCATACTCCAGACGTAACCTTACCGACATAGAGCCCATATTTAGCATGTTTAATGGCAGGTAAGTCTTTAATACCAAAGTTAGGAACTGCCTTTAGCAAAATTAAATCAGTTATAAAATATCATAAACCTTACGTATATCTTTTGCTCTTTGAGGGTATCAATTTTTCTTTCTTTTTTCAAAACAATTGTTCATCATGGTATTTCGTTTTTAGTTTCTACCGGTACTAATGAAATGCATAAGAAAAGGAATTCTGTTGATTAAATATAACAACGGTATATCAATTGTTTTATTGCTATTTTTTGGCGAAATAAACAACAAAGTTATTAATAACGTATGATAAAAGTCTTGCATTTCAATACATTTTGTATATTTACACATTGTTTATTTTTACTTTAGAGACTTTCCCGTGCAAGGAGAGTGGTGTAAAACGCATTTGGTATCCTTGCCATGCGGTTTCAAGGCCTGCTTGGCTGCTTGACTTAGTCTCCTGAGACCATTGCTTCCACCATTCGTGCATGCATTAATCTTCACAGAAATTGGAATCCTTCTATCGTACGCCAGGCCATCGACCAAGATATAAGTGATTGTCATACATCAAGACGAGTCGTTACTGAATAGATATTCCTCCGTTATGTTATTCTTAAGAGAAAAAAAAACACTGTCATGGGGAGGATATATCACATTGCAACAGGGAAATAACAATTTGTAAATTTAGTTCGTCCAAAACGTTTTTTTTTTCTGGATTCTGATTTACATACTCTTACACATCTGTTCAGTTGTTACATTAATTTAAAAAGAAAGAAAATATTATTTCTTTTTTCTGTTCGTTTGTTATATATAGGTGTTTGTCTAATTTACGAAAATTTCATAAACCTAGAATTTTTCTTTGATATCAACATTTACTTTTCACTATGTATCAGAATTGTGGTTTAGCTACTTTATTGATTTAGGTCAAAGGTTTGTAAAAAGGCCGAAAAAAGTTTATGATAACGTAGATACAAGCTAATGTTTAATTATAAAAGCTAATTCACTACCATTATCTATTCTAAAAAAAAACATTATTGTGTGTAATGTGCTTCTTCTCTTATTCTAATTTTGGTTGGAAAGTAAGTAAATGAGAACAGTTTCCCATTCCATTTCTCCACTCATTCCCATCCCCTTAACCCAAAACCCACCATTCAATTAAAAGAAAAACGAGAGTAAATAAATGTATAAATATATATTGACTATACGTCAATAGTACATCCTCCCAATGATATAAGAGCGTGATGACCTCTAGAGACATCAACAGTAGATATATGCTTTTACAATATGTGAAGCTCTAGCTATCTATAAAAGCTGTGCATGAATTTAACGGAAACTACCTTCAACACTGAATTTTCCGTATAACAAAAAAAAACATTTAGATATGAGCTGCGTCGGATAGATATCGACCTTATGCAAGTGCACGTTAACATGTACATTTAAAAGACTTTTATTGATTTTGGAACATTCAAATACTAAATAAGACAAATTTCGGTTTTTTTTTCTTGTAGGGTTCTTATGATAATTCAATTTATAAGTTCCAGACTTTCCATAGAGATTTGTTCAACCCGAAATTAGTTATCAGATAATTGATATTCATTTGCATAAGGTCGATTTCTATTCGATGCAGCTCATATGATAATACCACAAAGCTCCTGACAAGAAACACATACATGGATATTTAGTAATGTTAAACTTGTCTTGTTTAAATCTTAACCACCCCCCTTGCAATCGCTATTAGTGGCCTAGCAAAGGGTACGTAAAATAAGATACAAGAAAAAGTTCTACAAAAACTGTTATGCTTAAAAATTGCGCTGCTTCTTAATGACATTTAGATTACATTTAACATAAAAAAAATAAACATATTGATCACAGCATGTTTATATAGTTCAATTGTTAAGCTTGTTTGCCCTCTCACGTATCACCCATTATCGCAATATTGAAAACAAATATTGTATTGAAATCGACGAAACTAACAACAACTAGACAGTTAACATGTAGGCTTAAATTTCCGAGGAACAGTCGATATTTATTTTTAAAGCGTTCAACGGTGACATCAAAAAACAAATATCAAAGTGTCAAAACAAAAACTGTAGTGGAATAATAAAAGAATTTATCTAATCATTCATATGCAATCATTTGTTATGTTACTGTATACAGGGATCTTCCTTCGGAAGAAAAAGTCATTGACAAATAACATTCAAACGTTTTATTTAACAGAGGATCTTATGGTGTCTTACCTCCATCGGACACTAACAACAGACAGACGACTAAACAAACAGAAACCTGCATTCTTCTTTTTGTTTTCTACAACAAATACACACATTTTTTGTATACTTTTTCTCCATAGTTCACTAGTTTGATCCAAGGGAAGCACATTTTTGTTAATCAAAATAGCAATTGCAAACGACTGTAAATAGAATAAAGCAAATTATT